AGAGCAGGGAAGGCTTATGACAGTGAAAATTAGTTGCACAACCCTGCAATGGTGGCCACATGTCATTATACATATATCCAAAGCACAGAATGTTTGGCATCAAGAATGAATTTAATGTAAATTATGAACTCCAGGTGCCAATCTGGGCTCATCAATTGTTGCATAAAGCACTCTGGGGTGTGTGGGGGGCAGAGTTGATAACACAGGAGTCTCCACATGGGTGAGACTTTATGGGACATCTCCCCATTTTCCTCTCAATTTAGTAAATTTAAAATTGCCCTAAGAAAATTAGTTTCTAACCTAATGGTACACAGAAATATTTTGAGTTGACAAAACCTGCCACTCCTGTGGAGTTCCTACTCAGCTGGTCTCTAAACTTAGTTTGTCCATTCTGCATCAATCATGAAGACGCACAGCTTATTATTTGCAGGAACAACTCTTCCAGGAAAAAAACAAACAAAAAAAGCAAAAACAAAACCAGAGCAAAATGGTGGGCTAGGCCAGGTGTGCAGAGGGTCAGGACACTGGGCCTGGCCTAGAGGTCTAACTCAAGAGCTACTTACAAGGTGTTTTCAACAGGCTTCAGCTCAACAGGGTCTGCACATGTGTGAAAACACCAGAAAGCAAGCACTTAGGAACATGCAATGATATGTTTCCACATTCCTCCATCAGGGACAGCACTGATCACCAAAGGGGGTTCCAAAGTGCAGGACACAGCAGTCTGCCATGGGAAACTCGGCCAAAAGCCCAGATACAGACACTGTGGCCATTCTGGCTCTGGTTCCTGCCTTGGTTGCTCTGCCCTGGACCCTGCCAGTTCCCACAGGGCAGCGGGCTGAGCCCTCCACGTGCCCAGACTCCTCCCAGCTCCTGTGGTCCCTCTGTTCTTGACTCGTCATCCCAGCTCTTAGATCTGGCAAAGTCTCTCACGCTTAGATCTGCCAAAGTCTCTCACACTTCATAAAGATCCTGTCCTCCAGTCACCACCAGCAGCAGCTGCTCCTCCATTCTCATGGGTGCCGCTCCTTCATTCTCACATGCGATGAGGCTGCTCCTCTGCTTGCCCTTTGCTGAGGCTGCTCTTCTGCCTGCCCTGGGCTGAGGCCACTCTTCTGCTCACCGGGTGCTGAGGCAGCTCTTCTGCTTGCCCTGTGCTGCCTCCTGTCATCGCCACTTCTGCCCAGTCCCGGACCCCAGGGCTGGTGAGGAGACTGTGTCAGTGGAGCCACATTCAGACAAAGGAGACCAGGTTCAGTGACACAGGTCTGCTTTATTGCAGG